GTGTGAGAGGAAGGGCCCCTCTGCCCCGGAGGGGTGACCAGGCGGGCTCTGGCACTGCCGCTCGGCAGCCAAGAGCCCCACCAAGTGGTAGGAGCTCCCTTGTGCGGCCCCAGGGCCTTGCTGGCCTGCTTGGGGACAGATACTCATCTCTTGGCGCAGGCAGTTCCAGAAACACTTCTGCATGAAGTCATCCCTGAGCGGAGGCTGCGAGAGCAGGTGGGGCTGGGCAGAGCAGAGCCGGGGCGCCAGGCCTGCCCGCGCTCCCCGACCTCCGAGCATGTACCCGCCACCCGTCCCCAGCCCCAGCAGCCTGTCCCTGAGGTGCTCCTGGCTTCTCGGGCCTCTGTGGCTCCCCCCGGCCGCGGCTTTTGGTTGTCGAGGCCCAGAGAGGATGTTTTGCATTGCCGAGTGGCTGGAGGTGCCGCTTGTCTCCCCTGGCCTTTGATGTGCACCATGCAGACAGCTGGCTCTCAGCTAGTCATCTACAGCCCTTTGTTGTCGACAGTGAGAAATGGGCCCACTTCATCTCATCCTGAAGTTACACGACTAAAAAATGTCCCAGAGGAGTCGCGCTCACTTGAAGTACCTGTTTTTGCTGCTGAGGAGTCTTAAGTGTCCCACTCATATATTAAATTGCAAGATTGTCAAGTGTGAAGTTAGGTGAAAAGATCCCCATTCACCCTTCCTGCCTGGTGGACTTCCGCAATAAGCAGCGGTGAGAGAGAAGGAAACATCATCTGGCTGTGCCTGATCCGGCCCCATTCCCCAGCTCTTGCCAGCCCCGTAGTGGCTATGGGGAGGAATCCACATCAGCTGGCACCTCTGGATCGGTGCTGGATACCCTGGATCGGTGCTGGCATCAGGCAGTAGCCTGAGGATAGGGGCAGTGTTGAGTCACAGCCCCCGGGTCAACATAGGCATGGATGGGCATGGATGGGCATGGGAGGATGGAGAATGTAGGTCTCCCTCAGCCTGCCCTTGCAGCAATACATAGAGGACAGAGCAGGGGCCTGAATTTTTCGCACTATTTTTTAAGTCAACAGCTGTTTTGCACAGCATTCTGGTATTGTTGTAAAGTTACTTGAGGGGCACGAGGGATTGGTAATTTTCCTTTTCATTGTAAGTTTGGGCTTCCTTGCTTGTTTCCCACACTTACATGCACTGATGTCTTGCTAAAAGCTGTCGAACAACCTTACTACTTACAGGCTTTTCTTAATGTACCATAACCTCTGCTTCCTACCACTTCCTAAGCACCGCTTAGTCACAGAACACCTCAGACAGGAGGAAGCTGGCCAGCGCTTTTTTTATGGAAGAGATGAGGTGTTTTATGCAAGGTGACAGGACTCCCAAGAAAGAGCCAAGAATTGAATTCCAGCTTCCTACAGCCCCTAGTCAATGAGCACAAAATCATCTTTCCTCCATTTGCAGACTGAAAAATCAGCAGCATTTACACGCTTTTCAGCCATGAATCAGAAAAGCACTCAGCAGATGTCACGGCGATGATAAATGCGCAGGCATAAGGCACTGCATGTCATGGCCGTGCAGGCTCTGCGTCGTCTCCAGCGGGTTTCGCCGTTAAGCAAGTGCTGCTGGCAGATGTTGGCCCCCAGCTTGTGTCTCCACAACATGTGCAGACGGGTCGGGCCAGGCCTCGGGCTGCTGCCTTCTGCTCCGGGATGCCCCGTTGAGTGGCCGGCTCTGCTGCTGCAGGGCCCCGTGTCCGCAGGGATGAGATCGGTGGTCTGTAGCTGTTGTCCTCTCTAGACAAACAGTGTTTGAAGGGTTTTGTGTAGGTCCACAGGGCAGAGAGAGCTTGGGCTGCCTTGGTACCCCTGACCAACGGCCTGCAAAGCAGGACCCCTGGTCTGATTCCTGTTGCTGATGGCACTTATGTGAAATATCCTTTAGTCTCACCTTATGATGAGGGAGCCTGTCTCCCAGGAGGATACTCTGCAGAGGTGCACAGCCACACTGGGCTGTCCGACCTGCCCACATCCTGTCCTGCACTGTCTTCCATCATTGTCTGCAAGCTCTGTTCCCTGCTGCAAGGAATTTGCCTCCCGCTGATGAGCATTTTTTCCAACACTTACTTGGGACGTGGATTTCAAGAGTTCTTCCTCTTCCAACTCGTCCCTGGTACTTCTGTAGTGTAATTTGCATTCAGTTTCTCTCTACTTCCTTTGGCTTCCTCTCCGAATTTGTCAGACAGGTGCTGAGTGCAGCAGCGGAGATGCAGGAAGCACTGATTCACAGTGCAGTGGCACCAGAAGTGCTTTTGTTGTCAGCCCTTAGTCTGGCCCCAGCTGGCTACTCTGGGAACAAGCTGGCTGTGTAACGTGAGTCTGGAGTGCATGGGTCACAGGCACGTCTTGCAGCACGTGTGCTTGTGCCGTCACGATGCTCTGTCCTGGAAATCAAGGGCTCTGATTCCATGAGTTGTTATGGCCTTGAATATCTGTGACTGGGACAGAACCAGACTTGTGTCAATCCCATGGTAGAAATTGTATCACAGAGGTCCTGGACGTATCTCGTGCCCTGTTCTGAGGAGGTCCTAAGGCGTAAAGTGTGCAGAACGCTTGAAAAGCCCTTTGCAGTGCTGAGCCTCAAGATGTGAGTGTCCTTTGCTTTTTTTTTCCATGCAGTCCCACCCACTGTCCCTGTGCAACACGAGTGAGGATGAACACACTGAAACAGGATTCATCACCATTGTCAAGCTGGAACAGCCGGACCGGGATCCCAACCCCTGCCTGTCGTTGGCTAACAAGGTATGTGCAAAAGTGCCCTGAATGGGCTGAATCTGTATAAAGAAGCTGTTGTGCAGAGAAGAGTAAGAGCAAGAGGAGGTTGCAAGGTAGAGAAGAGCTGTTGGAAAGTGGAGAAAATGCCATGGGTAGAGGGAGGTCTCCTGGGAGAAGCATTGGGCCAGGCAGCCTCAATATCCATCTTTCTCTGCTTTCTGAACTGTCTAGCTTTGCTGTGGGGTTTACTGCAGTCTCACTGCTCGGGAACAGCTCGAACCTGTCCTAGCACCACGGAAGCTTTCCTGCCAGCCAGCCCTGTGCCCTTCCCTCTATTCTGCAGCCTCCTGTTGCTTGCCAGCCTCTTGCAGAGATTTGCGCTTTTCTGTGCCCCTATTCTTGCGCTTTGAGTGAAACATGGAAGCAAAACATCTTCCACATCTTAAAAAATAGTATATAGTACTTCACTGGAACGGGTACATCAGGAGTCAATGCTGAGCAATTCAGACAAATGCAATCTGGATGATCTAGAATTAGGGCATGACTCTCTAACAGTGGGGACCACATTACAAAGTGATGGGACATCTTAGATGCCTTCATATCAGGTCTCCTGTGAATGAGGTGCCTCAGTAAAAGAGCAGTTACTATGTGAAAAGCTGAGGTCACTGGTACAATTCCCTGGTAATAAGGAAGTCAGGTAAGAACGAGGGTCATTAAAGCCTTAAAATCTTTGTGTCTGATAAAGTTGAGTGGGTAAACCTAACATTAGCTTTCCTGAAAGTTCCACAAACAAGGAAAAAAAGTGAGTTTAGATATTTTTTGCTTTATTTGGATAGAGTCCAGGGGATGTAGCCCCTGTTGTTTGCATTCTGCTGGTGGTGAAATCCTGGGACTGGGGTTCCTTTTCTGCCCTGTCTGCAGCTCAGCTGGAGAGGGCAGGCAAACCTTTTCCCCAAGCAGTCCTTGTTCAGCATCTTTTCTGTCTTCTTGCTGGGGGCAGAGGGCCTCCCTCTAGACACCAAGTACCCTGAACACTGTTTCTTTAGTTGGGATAAAAGGAAGATCTCAGTGGTCTGGAGGAGCAGCCCAGTGCCTTTACTAGATACACGTATTTGAGATGTACCTGGAGCCTTGAAGCTCACCTTTCTCCCATATTCAGCAGTTTTTTTTTTTTACAAAGGCTGTGGCAGCAAAAGCTAGGAAAGTTTGAACTGCTGCATGAGCCATCACACGGCACGGCTGCGCGCTGGTCATTACCCGGGCTGGGACACGGAGGCTGTGTTCGGCCCGCGCGTCAGCGCAGCCCTCGGTGCACGTTGCAGGCCGGCACCTTTGACTCCGCTCGCCGCCCAGGGTGTCAGGGGTGCACGTCACAGCGCTCCGCAGCGTGTGGGAAGCCCAGGAGCCCCTGCAAGGTTTCCACTCACGGAGCTGGTTGCCTGTGACACATCCGTGTGCGCTGCTTCCAGGGCAGCCGGGGATGAATGTGAGAACGAGGACTTTGGAAGGGCCCTAGGGAGCCAAACTGGGTACCCCAACTCCCCACATCTGTCCCAGTGTGACCGTCACATTATGGTGGTCCCAAACTGCCACAAGGAGTTGGAGACAGCTTTGAGGATAGAAGCAGCAATGGCTGATTTGGTCTGTGCAACTAACACGGACAATCTTGAACAGAGAGGAAAGACTAGCTTAAAAACTCATCTTCTAAGAAGCTAAAAAGAGATTTTTTTTTATTAGTTTTCCATTTAACCTCTCCTGACACAATCTCTGACCTGAGAATGGGAAATGCTGTTATGTTCCTGAGTCCAAGGATTGGGTGAGGAAGGTCTGCCCAAGGAGGACATTGCCTTGGTCGTCTTCACTAGCTCCTGGTCTCTTCTCTAGGACCTTTAACTTCCCAAAGGAAATAAACCCTTGATTCATTACCACACTCATGTCTTGACAGAGCCACTGCTCTTTAGTTGCCTTAGCTTTGGTGCCAGAGCTCAGTCCAGCTAGTGCTGGATTTTATTTGAGAACGTTCCTCAGCTGAAGGTGAGCTGATCACCGTGCTGCCTGTGGGCAGCCTGCTCTAAGGGCCGACCTCGGGGAGCTCCCAGCTCTCCTCCCCGATAGCGGCCCCGTCTGGCCATGAAATACAGACGAATCCTCCTCCAGCAGCCCACATCCCAGGCCCTCCTTTTGCCTTGAATCCCTGGCTCCTAAGCCCTGGCCACAGCTGCTGTCCTTCTGTAGCAGTGTCCAGCTGCTTTTCCACCCTCATGCCAAGCTCCTTCCTCCAGAGTCAAACAAGTCTCTTTCCACATTGCTCTTCTTGACACTTTTCTTGCTCTTTCCCCAATGCTCCTCCTCGAGATCCAAGACGTAGCTGTGGGATGTGACCCAGAGCAGCGGTGCAGAGGTCGATGGGGAGGCCTGGACGCCAGCTGGGCGCTGGAGGGACCCTGGCCTCACAGCTCACACCAGCCTCCTCCCACAGGAGTCCAGCAGCCCCATGCCATTTCTCGGGATCCTTTTCCTACTGTTGTGCTTGAACAAGTGTCCTGCATTCATCAAGCTCCCTCTCTACTTTTAAAAGTCTCCACTGGACCCAGTTTCTCCTAGGTATAGATTTTATGCAGAATGGGGCCTATTCTCTGCTTGTGCTGTTTTATCCTGGAGTGAGCCTGGCTCGCTGGGCAGGAACTCTCGTTGCCTTGGCATGTGTTTCCTGCTAGAGCTCTGCATGGGGAATTGCCATGCTGTATCAGTGGTGATAAGAATAGCCATGTGCAATGTGTTATCATAATCTCTGCTAGTGCTGACCCTCTGCCAAGCAGTGCACACAGACAGGCCTTTCAAGCCTGGCATGCAGATAACTTTATCCAGCCACCTGATGCTCTTTGCTGCTTCTCTGCTCTTAAATTCTAGCGCTGGCTCAGCATCCAAAACTAAAATCAGTGAAAAAACTACCTGAACTGCGAGAACAGAGGCAGACGTGGAAAATACCCTGAGAACTGATGCACAATGATCTGTTTTCCCTTTTCTTGTAATCTTTGCAATTTTATGTGTATTTTTTTTCCTCTGACCTTGGGTGAATCCTTGACTGCAATGCTGGCAAACTGCTCCAAAACAGCCCATATTTGCACTAAAAATGTTTCAGTCCTCAAAGAGGGGGATCGTGCCGTGCTGTGTGGCTGGGAGATGAGCTGCCTGGACAGCAAATACTCATAAAATTATCACAGCAAACTTTTTGGAATAACTTGAATAAAGCTATACCCTTTGCACTTGGGAAAGGGCAACAATAGTCCAAAAAATGTTGTGAGGTAACGTTTGCCCAGTCTCAGTCACTTGTTTCCCCATTGTTAGTGTCTTCAGCAGGGTGGAATCTAGAGCTGTTCATCATTCAGCAAAAGCTGACTGATCCGATGCATGGCATTCACTACCTGGCAGTCCTGTTTGTTCTCCAGTGCTGGCAAATTCTGAGCATCCTTTGATCCCAGGGATCCTCTGATCCCTGCCCTGAGCTTCTAATTCCGCTTTCCAGCTTCCCCTTCTGTTATACCAAACCGAGGAATGTCAAATCCCATCAGCGACTCAGAGCCTCAAACCCTCTCCCCCAACCCCCCGACCTCCAGTGTTGCCACAGCTCTCGGTGCCTCTCTTCGCACCACCAGCTCTGTCCCCAGACTCTTGGATCTGCCTCCAGCTCCTTCCTTCTGGGGTGAGTCGAAGCCGCACGGAGCTCAGAGTGTGGGAGGGAGCCGGCCCTGCTGCTGCCCGCGGAGGCGGGAGAGCCACTGCCCTCCACTGTGCCCAGACCCCGCGTGCAGCCTCTGCGATTGCCGCTGGGAAGCTGCAGCACTGACCTCTGGCCCCTGAGCTGGCGTTTGGCACGGCAATGGGTAACCTGCTGCAGCAGCCCTGGCAGATCCCTGTTTGCACAGGCGCTCGGGACACACAGATCAAAGCAACCTGCGTGAGTAACCGCGGCCCAGCCCTGCACTTTGTTCACCGTCCTGTCTTCCTTTCACAAGAGGCAGCTTTGTCTACCACGAGGGCTCGGCAGGAGGACTTGGGTGACACTGTGACCTCCTTTAGGCAGTGCACTTTGACCTGACCTGGATGACATTTGTACTCATTTTGCAGGTGGGAGTCAAAGCTGTCCCTGTCAGGCCGTGGCAGACATGGAAAGCTGTGAGAAGCACTGCAAGAGGGATCTGACTCATAATCCGAGGCTGACTTGCAGTCCAAGGGATCACCTAAGCCTCTCCCTGATGAATGCAGGGGATGGGGGTTACACAAAGCAGTGCACAGTGCTTGGGTGGGGAAGTCAGGGCTGTAGATAGCCATGATGAGAAAGAGGGACCTCAAGAGGGTTTTTGCTGTCTGGGGCTGGGAGGGTTAAATGGCTGCGAGCACTGCTAACACCGTGGCAGATTCCTCCCCAGCAAACCTAGCCCTGAAGCAATGGGCACATGGCCCAGGCGCTTATGGGATTTGGTGTTTAGATGTATGGGTTGTTGTGGCTGGAAACCCACCAACTGCACCTATGCAGCTATAGGGAGAGGCCTTCCAAGAGCCACAAAGCTGTAGCAAGAGCAGGCACTGGTCACACTGCAGCTCAACACGAGCACAGAGATATAAATATAAACTATTTTTTCATTTTAAGCAGCGGACACTTCTTTCTTCCATGGAGAGCCAGGCAAACACCTATGGAATAAGTAGATGCAAAGATGTACAATATCAAAACAGGCTTTGTTCTTTTTGACAGGCAAAGCTGGCAGGAGAGCGTGGAGCCCGAGCAATCCTTTTTGACATTACTGATGATGAAAGTGCTGCTGATCAGGTACAGACTCCACTGATACTATCTCAGGCCTGTCCCTTCCCGAAATGTTCAAGATCAGGACCCTCCAACCATCACCGCGCTGGGTCGTACAGGTGCCACCGGGTCAAACAAAACTCTGGGTTGACTCCTGGTCCTTGGATCCATCCCTGTGGTTCTTTCTTGTACTTGCTGCTTAATTCCTTATGCGAGAGAAGTGCAGCAGCAGGTCCGTGAGCTGACACTAAGGTTGTTGAGCATATGGGAAGTTGTTTGTGGGCTCAGTAGGCCACCTTGATTCAGGTTGATCTGAAGGATAGAACTGTGTTGGCCACTTGCTGAGCCAACCCAAGTCAGGCTGCTTGGACTACATGTCCGTGGTGGAAGAATGCACATATGATCAAGAACAAACTGAATGTCATACAGCTCAAATAGAGTGGAGGGACTCTCAGGAGTCCCACAGAAGAAGAAGTGTGATAGGCAGTTCCCACATGGGACAGGAGAGACCAAGAACTTTTTTGCACAGGGACTTGAGAGAAGAGTAAAGGAGGAGCTGAGCAGAGCAACCAGTTGTGCTTGAAGAGGAGACACCATTGTGGGTTAAGCTATAGGAGGAAATGAAACAAGCCCTCCTAATGAAGAGCTGGTGAAGCATTGGGCAAGAAGCTTCCATTTGATGCAGAGCAGGTTTCACAGAGTGATGGTGTAGGCTTGGAAGAACGGCCTTGGTCTCTGAGGTGTTTGTGGAATGGAGGCTCTTGGCATGCCTGGCAAACAGACATCATCCCTGCTTCAGACTGTTCTGGACCATCTCTGACCATGTTTGTCTCTTCACAGCTGAGAAAGCCCAGGGGTCTGAGTCAGCCTGTGGTTCTGATCAGAGGCCATGATGCTGAGCTTCTCATGGGTGTCGTGAACAAGAACAGAGAGGCCCACGTGAAGATAGAGGTCAAGGAGCCACCAGCTTGGGTGAGAGACATACCATTCCCACTGCCTCCTCTATCCTTTCTCCCAAGCTCCTGTGCCTTGGGACAGGACTGAGCACCCGAGGTGCTGAGCTTTCCTGCCTGGGGATGGAGCTTTTGGCAGCATTTAGATAACATGCAAATACTTCAAAGTACTTCAGCTTATTTACACTTTATGTTATTTAATCAAGAGTGAGGCAGAATTTCCTGTCTCTTCAGGTGAGGCTAAGATGCTGCAAGAGAGAGAAATTTGATTTCTTCTGGAATTTGCACAAAAAGTTTGGATTCTTTTATCTGTAAAGAGCAAGGAGGTAGAGTTTGGCCAAGAATTAAGTGGGAAAAAGCTGATGGTCAGGAAGAGATCAGGAGTCCCCTGCCTAGGCTCTAGTTCCCAAACCTGGCACCCAGGGGTAATTTATTTCCTGTTTTATTCAACAGCCAGATTATGACGTGTGGATTCTTCTCACAGTGGTCAGCACTGTCGTCATGATCATTTTGATTTTTGTTGTCCGCACAAAGTGCCAGCTGAACAGGACTCAGGTAAGACTCTGGGGAAGAAGGCTCTGGGTCTGAGCGAACAGCAACACATCAAGGCCACCCATGAACGCAGGCTGGGAGAGGCCACGTGCCTCCTTGCGACGTGGAGGCCTGGCCACCTGAGGCCTGTGTGTGGCAGTGCAGTGCAGGGCAGGTCTGAGGTGGGTTGTCATCCTTTGGGCACTGCTCTCACAGTCGTCCTGCTGCCCCCTCTGCAGTGCAACAGGCCAGCACCATTTCAGAGCTTGTCACGGGGCCCAAGGTTGGAATGCTGGGGGCAGCAAAGCTCTCTCACAACCTCTTTGCTTTAGCATATTGTCTGTACTGATAGAAAATAGAAATTTCAATATTTTATAAAAACTAACAAATTAAATAAAAATCTTTCCAGAGTCAGACATTTTTCCAGATCTGAGAAAATATATATATTTTTTTCCTGTAGAAGGCAAGCTGGGCTTAAAAATGGTTAATGCTGAGTGATTTAGCCCTAGATGTCTAGCCCTAGATGTCTCCTTTTGGTGATAAAGTCACCTTTGGGTATCCCAGATGACACAGCCACTTTGGAAATGAGTATCACCCTCAAATCCACAATAATTCCATTTAGAAAATGGAAGAGAAATGAAAAGGAGAAAATACAAGACTGTGTCCTTAAAGCAGTACATCAGGGCAGATGTATATAGGAACATGTTAACTCTTGCCTATCTCCTTAAACATTGTTAGCAAAACCACAGAGGAATTTATGTCCTGGGTCACCTGACGTCTTCTACTGTAGCCTTCTGATTTCAGCATTTTAAAATTTAGCAGCCTTTCACCTTTGGCAGGGATTTAGGACAACTGTTTTGTCCAAGTTCAAAACGTTCACCCTTATTTTGGACCAGCTCATGAACCTCCCATGAACCTGAACAGAGACAAGGGATTCTCCAGAGGAAAAGCTGGTATGACCAGTGATTAAAGAAGAACATTTCCCTGGCCTTGGTAAAATCAGAGCGCAGATAGCTACATTATAACTTCCTGAAAATCACCATCTGCTATCGCATTCAGTGGCATGTGTAGAACATTTGCTTCTCATTCTTTGACCGTTTCCCACAGTGCTTCACCTACCAGAACCATGAAGCTAGCAAGGGTGGTGTTGTTGAATAGGTTGCATTTACTTATTCCTTATTTACCTATTCCAGGCAGACACCCCAGTACAGTACCCCTGTGTTAATAAACAGGGTAGCAGACAGCACATCTGTTCAGTCTGCTGAGCGTGGATCCTGGTTTAAAGCTGTCCTGGTGTCCTTCTCCATGGACAGTAGACACAAAGAGATCCTGTTTTTTTTCCAGCCCTGTACTCAGAAAACTCTTTATCTAAATTGTAATGACATGGCATAATGGAACTCAGTGAACGGACACAGGATTCCCCTGGCTTCTTCGGCCACCAGTGGGTGAAGAGGCAGGAGGTCTTGCATCTGGCACAGGGCAGTTGTGCTGAGAGTGTATTGAAATACCAGACTAATTACTTGCTCAGCCAAAGTGGTGACCATTTAGATGCCCATCTCCAAAAGTATTGTCCTGGGGTTGCTATTAGAGCCCCTATATTATCATTCCTCAAGCCTTCACACAGCCTACCTTAATCAATCAATCACAATTAATTAATTGCAGTGCACTCAGCTGGGGACCTCAAAGCCTGTAGCAAAGGAAGGAAGTGCAGGGGAGGTTCAGGTATTCAGCATGGATGGGTGTCTGGAGGCACCCAGTGTTCAGGGAGGAATTGGTGGTGGCAGCAGCAGGGACACGGTGTCTAGGGCTGCGTTGTCCCAGCCAGAGCACTCTGCTTCAGCTCCACGTGCCCAGCTGTGGTTCACGGTCTGACCGCTGGTGCAGGACAGTTTTGCCCTTGGCCTCGCTTTCCCTGACTGCTTTTTGAAGCCTCTTTCCTTTCTTTCCTGCAGGACTCCCTGCAGCAGCAGACCATGCAGGCCATCGGGCAGCTCGCTACGCGCACGTACCAGGCTAGGTGCCGCCAGGCGTCGCGCTGGGACTCGGCAAGCAGCTGCAGCTCGGCCCCAGTCTGTGCTATTTGCCTGGAGGAGTTCAGCGAGGGCCAGGTAGGCTGCTTGGCTGCTGATTAGCCACAGCCTGAGCTCTCCAGATGGTCTGTGGGGGAGCCGGGCAGCCCAGCAGGGTGGGAGGTACTTGGGAGCTTTCCTTCAGCAGCTCCCAAGGGCTGCAGAAGGGCAAGCAGCGAGGCAGGTGAGCCTGCCTTGAGCAAAAAGCACTGCCTCTGTTCTAGTTCCTTACTTGCAGATCCAAAATCCCTATAGTTGGGACTCCTGGTGTCTCCGTAGGTTAAAAATATCTGTAACGGGTTGGTTTGGAAACAACGGGGAAGGATCATTTTTGCTTCCCTAAAGCACTTGGTCTGAAACTCTGTTTTGGAGGGAGCCAAACACTTCTCTACATGTCCTGCCATTGTGGCTGGACACAGCAAGCAGAACTAGGTATGCCAGGCTGCAGAACAACCTCCTCCATGCAAAACTGGTCGGCAGTTTGCCCATTATTAGACCCCTTTCCATTTTACAAGTCCTCGTTCCTGGAGTATCAGGAGAGCTCCTTTTCCCTGTCTCCAGATCCTGGGACATGGTTCTCTGCGCTCACCCTCTTCCTTTTCTTCCCATGTTTTCCTAGGAACTACGGATCATTTCGTGCTCGCATGAGTTTCACCGGGAGTGTGTTGACCCCTGGCTGCAGCAACATCACACTTGTCCCCTTTGCATGTTCAACATCCTCGGTAGGGCTCCAGCCCAGCACCGTGCAGCCGGGGAGCGGGGAGTGAGTGCAGGGCTGTGCTCGGGAGGTGCCTTGGGGTGCTGCACACAGCCAGGGTGCAAGCAGGACCCGAGCCAGGCGGAGGTGTTACCAGTCCCGGGACAAGAGCAGTCCTGGGGGAAGGATGTGCACTGGGGCAGTGGGAAGGGTGCCAGGCACTGGCCACGTGGCATGGCACTGTCACTGGCTGTGTGGCAGCGCTGAGGAGCTGTGGGACACGAGTGGGACGTGGCGTGTGGGGCAGCCTTGCTGGGGCTCCCAGAGCTGGGCTGCGGGCCATGTGCTGGATGTTCCCTCCTTTTTTCCCCAGCCCGAGACTCTGTGGAGCAGGCCGCAGCCCCTGGCTCCAGGCTGACCCCTCGGGACATGGAGCCTGGGCGACGGCTCCATCTCTTCCGGCAGCACCCAGGACATGCCCTTTACCACCTCCCCCATGCCTATCCCCAGAGGAACCTGAGGAGCTTCCCGCCGGAGCCTGCCCGCAGCCACCCCTTCTTCCGCTCACCGGAGCTCTCCCAGCTGGATTTCAGCACCATTCACTACGTGCCTTACAGGCCGGCGAGCTCCCTGCCCGCCTGCAGCCACCCGTCCCCGCTGGCGCCCGTGCTG